CGTCGCCCATGGACACCTGGAACACCAGAGGCGTTACTTGTAACGCCTCTGCGTTACCGGCCTTTTGGGGATTAGGAGTTTGAGGATCGTTGGGGATTCAGGAATTGGGGAGATTGAGCAAGGGGAGGGTAATTGGGCCTTCTGTAACTTCACTCATACGACGAAACACAACGCAAGCGTTGCTTCACGTCGGTTTTCTGGGAGGCCATGGTATCACTCCGATTGAGCCGGCCCATTCGTGCAGAAGCAAGGCTCTCCTACGCTTCTTCTTCAAAGAAGAAAAGTTATAGTCTGTTTTTAAACGTATGCACCTGCCTAACAAAAACAAAAGAAACAATAGCATACTGAGAGGCAACTGACCTTATTTTGACCGTGTTTACTGACCGTATTTTCCCTAAAGCAGTTGCTTTAGGGAAAATACGGTCAGGCTACAGGGGCGCCTCGAGCGAGACGCGCATGATCAACTACACCTAAAGTAGAGACAATGTCAAAAAAAATAGGTGCCTGTGTATAAGGTGCTTATCTAGGCCGCTCTTGAAGATTAATTGCACCTATGTATATACCTTTTATCCCTGATCGAGTACCGTATTTATAGACACAATTAAAGAACAATAGGTTGCGGTCACCGGTGACCGCTTGGTGTTTGACAGTTTAAAATACATTTACTATGCTTCTAACAATGGCACGACCAAATTAGGAAATCAGAAGATTTAGTTCTCACAAAGGTGTCTCAACTGCTTCATCATCAGTAGCTAGCAAATTGTCAACTAATGACATGAAATATATAGCCCTAACCAATCAACCTCGTACATCTTTTTATTGTGATCGTACTTAATTAGTTACCCGAAAATAATATGTAGACACAATATTTAATGACCGTTTTTACGATTATAAAACTTTTTAAGATTTCGATAGAAAAGGTATCGTAGCAATAGTAACAACAGGGTCGTTAACATCCATAGCCTTTAAAAAATATTAGTATTTGAAGACGTTTAGTTAGTGCCAATCATTTTATGTGTCAGAAATAAAGTGACATTACTGACAGTTGGTCTTTGACAACGACAGTTGATGTCAAAAATTATGAATTGTCAGTTTGGTTGGTTCGGATTGGATGTGCATTGTTGTTTAATGTTTATTGTGGTGAAAATATTTCTGCTTTTAAAATAAATGCTGTGTTTAATTAAAAATAACGAACGGATAATGATGTTTTGACGATCATACTTTTAAATGAAAGTTTTAGAAATCCTGTTCTTATTATTTGACTAAGAAAAAACGGTATGTATGTTTTTTGTTTATGATTCATACGAACAATAGGTTTTACGTTTCGGTCATATAATGTAACGTTTTCTAAACATTCCCAGACATGTCCGTAATGTTAAAACCTTGATATTCTCCTTAAAAAGACCTCAGAGATTCCCGCTACTACAAAATAGTAGCAAATAATAGTTTTTGATGATGTCACGAAGATAATTTAGGTCAAACAAGATGTTTAGCAGAGATATCTCCTCTAATTATAAGTATTGAATAAATTTAACAGATAGTGGTGACCTGTACTTAGTTATTTTGTGACTATTTGTATTGACCTATTTAGTAAAATATATATTAATATTGTAGTTTATGACACTCTTTTGGATCATAAGTAATTAATTCTCACTTGAAGGCTACTTCAATTATAAATTTTCACCAAACTTCCTTATACAAGTAGGTAGTAGTGTCTTAAATATGTTTAAACATTAGCTTCAGGTCTTATAATATTCTAGTTTGCCTGCAGCTTCGTAATATGGTCAGAACCTTAATATATTATACACCCAAACTTAACTCAACAATCACATGGTTTATAGGTGAAAATCATTTGAAATTCCATTCAGTAGTTTTTGAGATTATCTGGTTCATACAGATAAATTAAAGGAGTATGTTTTTTATAATGTTAAACCTAAGGTTTACTTCACATTAATAGAATTAAAATAGGTGTTCTAAAAAATTAAATCTGAGCTAATTTTGAAAGCGAAATAATTTGTAGTTGAGATGGTGCTACCATAATGATAGGGTATAATACTATTTTTAACCGACTTCAAAACAAGAGGGTGTTGAAATTGGTTTTTTTAAATGTAGTTTATGAATAAATTATTCGTACAACTGTCAGTAATTAAATGATACGTAGTTTGCAGCATTATGAATCATCTTAATTAAACTAAATACAAATTGTTTACACATTACACAGGTACGGTGCAGATGTTCTTGTGGTTTTTAATTACATTCAAATGATGATAAAAAAAAATACATTTGTTTTAATACAATTTTTCTTTGCACATAGATTCTAATGTCTGTTTTCACAAACAACACCTAAACTATATTTTAACTAAGATTTGCTTAGCACTTAACTTCTTATTTGTTCCTTCAAAAGTATTCTCTAAACATCGAAAATAAGGTCTACAGAGGAGTTAGAGGAGAGTGGTTAACAGTGACTGCTTGCCTTGGGGACTCGGCAGTTAAACTAACCCGTTATTTGTACTGTTAGGATTTATGGGGTGGTCAAAACCAAAATATAGTTAAGTGTCACATATCTTGGTTTCGGCATTCCATAAAACTTGATGAAACGGGCTTCAGTCAGTTAATAGCTGAGACTTGTAAGACATTGGCTAATTTCAAGTAGGTACATAGTTAATTATATGAATGAACTCAATAGATAACCTATTTTGTAATAGGTACTTAACTAGTTTAAAAATCTACCTAATTAGTTTAAAAATGTTACATGCTTTATTATTTTTGAACAATAACTTCTGTCCTATGCAACTACCTATAAGAAAATTATTCAGTGATATCACTGACTGGCTATTGTTCTTGTAAAGTTGAAAACATGCAAGATTTGTTTCAATGTCATTGTTCTCAATATTTTGTAGTTGTATAATATCTAAGCAAATTAACAATACTTTGTGCGACCCAGGAACCAATTAATAATCTATTTCCCTTTGCTAAATACAATAAATTATTATAAATATATTACGCTAGTTTGTTTAAGCATGCTAATATCCGGAATTACTGGCCCTTTGATAATTCTTTTTGTGTTGGTCATCCCATTTACCACGGAAAGCTAAAGGCTATAAAACATTACAGTATGGTCAATATAACCGCAGAGAACCTAACGGGTTACCGGTGCTCCGCCTCGAAGTGCAGGATTAGGAATGGGGTGGTTTTTAGTCAGTAGGAGTCTGACACTCCCTAACACCTCACCCAGGCCGGAGCTGGCATTCGATGATTTTCCCCCTTAAAAAAAAAATGGTCAATATAAGCCGAACTGGGGGTAGAATGCTCAGAAATAGCTACTAACTAACTATCTAAAATAGTCAGACGTTAGAGGTATTACGAGGGTTAATAAACAAAAGAAATTCACCTACCTAGGAATTGGTTTGTGTTTTAACTATCTAATCCTCTTGAGCTTGAAACGTTTCTTTCTTATACTTATAATCCAATAATGTAATCAGAAAAGATAAGGTGTAAAGAGCCTTAATTAAGCGTGGAATGTGTATTGCAATGTTGCCAAGTTCACACAGGATTCATTACTGATAGTAGATATCTGTAATATATTTAACATTGTTGTACATTTTCTTTGTAGTTCATACATGTATTAAGTATTAGCTTCTGGTAGCCCCTTGTTACCCTCAGATCAATATTGTATTTTTCTAGATAACTTGTATTAGAGGGTGCTGTGTTAAGGTCAGACATTCTGTGCTTAAAAAAACGACTTCAAAAGATAAAGACAAACGTAAAGTAAAAACTAATGAAGTCGGTTAAAAAGGAAAAAAATAACTATTTTTGGTCATACGTAGACACTTATAGCTTACACACCCACTGATAGGTGAGAAGTCGGTGCCACAAGTTTTGAACAAAATTATTCATTAAACCCTTAATAGATATCTAACATTATTAAACTGTCAAACACCAAGCGGTCACCGGTGACCGCGACCTATTGTTCTTTAATTGTGTCTATAAAACCGGTACTCGACGAGTTAAGCTGTTTACAATTTTATTATGGATTATACCAGCTGTAACCATTACTACTTTATATTTTGTTATGGGTTTGTGGCACCGACTTGTCTGGTAGTTTCAAAATTGCACTTCAAAAGATTCAGTGTTTCATGAGTCATGACAAGGCTCCGGCCCAGCTTCAGTCAAATGTGTAGTCCCTCAATCAGCTACTTGTACATATAAATAATTATACATTTTAAATATACATAATAATATTATTGTATACATTTTAAAGTTGGTTGGCAATAATAATAATTAATTATTGTAGCTGTAACATACAATTATAATGTTTATAACAATTGTTTTATTACAAAGCAGATGTGACAACTGGCAGTTATCACATCTCGGGCAGTAACTGGGGTGTTCCCCAAGTGATAGTGCTGTGCTATCACTGCATTGTAAAACGCCTACCAATATCAATTTAATAATATAGAAATAAAACAATATGTGCACACATTCATATAGTTATGGAAACTATAGTTTTCTTTCTTCTCCTCTATTAATATCTTTTGATTTATTTCATAGATCCAAGACAGTTATTCATGTCCTTGGGACATCCCTGGCATTTCAGTGTTCCGGTGTTTTCATGGTTGTATCTACTGTAGATTCTAGTTTACAGGAGTTGCAGCAGTTTTAGGTAGGGGCTTGTCCCATGAAATAAACATATAGTTATAAAGACTTATTGCTTTTCAAATCTCTGGTTCGAACCTAGGCTATATAAAATTATTACTAACAGCATGGAGTCTGTAATTATGTTCTATGTATGGCAATAGGACATTATCGAAGGCCACAGGCAGCTGCTGGATGCTAGTCGCTTTCAACTGGTCTATTTGGGAGTCATTGGAGGAGGCCTATGTTCACCAGTGGACCTATAATGACCGATATTGTGCTAATGATAAAGACCTAGTATTTGTCCAGGCTTTGACTGTCCTACAATCCGTTATGCTTTTTTTGTTTCAGTGACGAAGCCAACCATGGCTGAAACCCTGGATCCGTTGTCACCCACAGTGAACAGTTCAGGACGGAGTGAACTAGGCATCATGGATAAGCTGAGGTTGAGGATTGGAAGAGGTGGATCTGCTACCAGGCCGGCCAGTGAAGGTATGCATCTGCTTGTAAAAACAATACCACAACCAACAAACAATTTATACGGGTGGGCAAAGACTATTCATGGAACTTATATTGGGTGAAAAATTAATGTATAATTTGCTTTTACACTGCTGTCTACTCCTTTGGGCATTAAGAGGTCTTATGCAGACTTTATAAAGCAAATAGCAGTTCATAAAAGCGCTGAAAAAGTAAAAGTACAGTTATATGTATAGCAGTATATATTTTGGACAATATGGGCGTGTAATTATGCTAACATAACATAACATCACACCTTTTACCCCCGAAGGGGTAGGCAGAGGTGCCACTGTGCAATGTAACACCCACTTTTCACTTTTCATGTTATGAGTCCCATGTAATAGGGAGTCAGCCTATTGCCATATACCGGGCGCAATTCCGGACTCTGTGCTACTACTAAGATCTTTATTAAAAACCCAGAATACTTTGCCCGACCCGGGAATTGAACCCAAAACCCCTTGCCCCGCAGTCGAACTTGCGACCACTCGGCCAACGAGGCAGTGTAGTTATGTTACGTATGAATGTGCACCTCTGCCTACTCCTTCGGGGATAAAAGGGCGTGATGTTACAGTATGTTATGTTATGAAAGTGTGTAAAAGTTGACTGATAGCGATAGAGATAGCTTATGTTATGCAATGACGTCATGAATGCACCCGATACCTTATGCTCAACTTATATTCGAGGTGTAATCAAAGGCCGTCTTAAAATGGTATTTGTCAGTCGTGTATCCGAAGTGACCTTGATGACAAAACTTCGCTGTTGCTTCATTTTGCAGTCGAGTTCAGGTAGAGTGCCCTTGTAAAGGAGAGAGTGTACGATTCGTAACAAATACACAAAGTAGCATTTATTTCAATCTTTCGATTTCGTCTTTTGGATTTTCGACTTTTTCGGCTGCACGGTTGGTGCGGTGGCTGGGCAACCGGCTGCCGTGCAACGTGTCGCGGGTTCGATACCCGCACGGAACAACACTTTGTGTGATCCACAAATCTGGGTGGTCTGGGTGTCATTCTGTATGTGAATGGTTTTGTATGTTTGTAAACCCACCCACGACACAGGCGAAAATCCTAATGTGGGGCAACGTTTAAAAAAAACTGGTCGAAGTTGAAAAGGTGTCGCCCTGCGGTTTCTGCCTACCCCCATTAAATAGGCGTTGGTTCTATCACAATTAAATATCAAGTAGTTAAATAAATAAACTATGTAATGTATGCAGTATAATCCAGGATGAGGGCATAAAGAAGGGCCGGTGGGGATCTCATACCCGTAGGGGTCCTGTGGACACATAGGCAACCTTTAACCAACATATACGGGTTGTTTTACTTTGTCCTAATTAAACCATAGGCAGTCACTGGTTAAATTGGGATACAAAAATACGAATCATATATAATCCTATAAATAATAATACACATAGTTACATAGTCACATAACTCAGTTCTCCCAGTTGTATAGTCTCTCTTTATGCCTTTAGGCTTAATTCATTTTGTCTCCTGCAGTAATTCACCGAGGGAAGTGGAAACTATCGTTTTTTCTTTTCTTATTAATATCTTTTGATTCATTTCGTTGTGGGAACCAAGATAGTTATCATGTCTCTGGGACGCGCTGGACTTCAGTATTCCGGTATTTTCATGACTGTATCTACTGTCGATCCTGGCTTACAGTTGCAGCGGTTTTGGGAGGATGTGGCGGACTTGACCCATATAAAAAAATAAAAAGCGCGTCGCATCAAGCTTCCTTGTGCATACCGCTAAAGAGTGGAATTCTTTGCCAGAGTCTGTATTTCATGAAAGGTATAACCTGGGAGTCTTCAAGGCCCGAGTGAATAGGTTGCTTATGAGATGATTCTTATTTATATTATTGTCGCTACTTTCTGATAATATTGCCATCGTTTGGTTACTGTGCATGTTGTGCATTTAATATTTATTATTATGTAAGTGCTTAGTGGTCCTATACTAGGTGGGTATCCAGGTAGGCTTAAACAGCAAACTGTGTAACTACTAAATTGTATTGTGAACCTGATTGAAAAAGAGTAACCTATGGAGTTTCTTGCTCGTTCTTCTCCATAGGAATCTACACTTTGAAATGAGCAAATAGCTTTACGTTTAATTGTTTTTTGTTGATGTTCAAAAGTGCCATTCTGACCTAATTGAAATAAATGATTTTGACTTTGACTTGACTTTGACTTTGATGTCTATCTATTGTAACAACTACTGGTATTGTCCAAATTATAAATAAAAAACACTCTGAGTAAACGAGCGTAGTTCCAATCCGTTTGGTTTTAAATTGGTGTGACTCGATGCATTGTATCCGAAGGTCGACAAACAATGGCTGACTGGTCAGTGGCCAGTACTATCAGTCGTAGTTCAACTCTGATTAAGTGCACTTGCTTGGATATGAACGAAAAACGCTTCGAAGGTGATAATTTTAAAGTTAATTTATTTTTATTGATGAAGTTTTAAGTGTGTGTTAAAATGTAAAGACTTTGGAGCGCAGAATACTCTTTGCTGAAATTAATTACAGATCTAAATACAAAATCTCTGTATAGATCTATGTTTTCTAAACAGAAATTCAATCTCAATACATAATTAACTTTTAACGATTCAATAAACGATTTCAATCCTAAGATTTTTTGAAGTCTGTTTAATTTAAATTCATAATATACTAACTACTAAAACCTTCTCTTAAGTGTAACAAACACTTTCCTGAAGACCGTATTAAAATCGGTTCAGCTTATCGCGAGATAATTGCGCACAAATATACAAACATACAGACATACATACAAGTCAAACTGACAACCTTCTTATTTTGAAGTCGGTTAAAATTTTATTCAGTATAAGAAGCCGCAGGTGTGTCTTCCAACGGCCCTATTTGGATGTTTTTATAATAACTATCGTGAGATATACTAAATTAACTAAATATTACTCACGTGAATATACTGAGAACAGCTCTACTAGTTTCGAAACACAATGGGGTTATTTAATTGTAGCCTACTGTAGGCTGCGCGACATCGCCGCGACCGCGCGCACGCTGCTCATGAGGAAGAACCCCTCTGTGGTTCGAAACTAGTAGAGCTTATCTCAGTATATCTGGATGTTATTAGTTATTATATTGTTCAGGTGTAGACATCTTGTGGTTGAAATGATGTGGATCTTGTGAGTGATGAAATTGTGTTAACGCCTTAATATTCCATTTTCCAGGATATGTGGAGTTTGGTGAGTTCCGGACGGAGCGGCCTGGTATCAAGAAGGTGGGCACCTTCGCTGGTGTCTTCTGTCCAGTCGTGCTGTCCATGTTCAGTGCGCTGGTCTTCATACGAATGGGTGAGTTAAACTATATATTTTTTTGAAAATGATCCAATTACAACCTAATTTATTCGTGTTTTTATAATAACTATCAACATACTAAATTAACTAAAATCGCTCGTTACTCAACGTCGTCGTTGACGTCGCCGCGACCGCGCACGCTGCTTTTGAGGAAGAACCCCTCTATGGTTCGAAACTAGAAGAGCTTTTCTCAGTATATTCACGTGAGTGACCCGCGATTTTAGTTAAATTTATTCGTATTACATTAGTACAGTTTCTTTTTTATTTATATATGTCTATACTTATGATAATTTGAAGAGACTAAATTATTTCGTGTTATGATGATAAACAATATATTTTTGAAAGCATTTATCTTATCTATATACATATATGTCTTTATATACTGTCTTGTCTCTGTGTCTTTATATAATATACTGTAAAACTAAAGTTTATATTTCTGATTAGTTAGACACATAATACATTAAATGTATTTAAATAAGTATTATACCTGTTATAGACATAAAATATATAAGTTCGTATTAACAACTATTTCAGCTGACTGTACATTGATTTTATATCGTCATTTAGGTGGTTCCTGTGTTTTTTGTTTTCTGCGAATACTATCTGAAGTAGCTCAATAATTTTTGAGATTATCGCGTACAAACAGACGCGGTCCGGGACTTTTTAATAAAATGACGATAGACGATAGAGATAAAGAGAACGTCAAATAAACGATATGAGAAATCTAAAATTGTTTGAATTTATCTAAGTACCTACCTAACAGCTTTGTGATATTTGATCAATGGTGTGTGTGAAAAATATCAAAAATTTTAATAGTTTTGATAAAGCGAAAAAAAAAACAAATGAACAAACTTATACTTTTATATGTTAGGATTAATATAAATTATAAGAAACACGTATAATAATAAGCTCGTGTTTGTATAATTATAGTTAATTCGTTATCTAGCGTGTGATTCAGAGGCAAGGTCACTTCGGTGCAGATCATAATTATGTATAGTTTGTTGTGCAAAATTCTATGAGAATTGTTGTTTATTTTTATTTTCAATGACATGCCTTTTGGACTCAAAAGGTAAACAGCGACATTTTTAGGAAAAAAACAATGTCTTTAGGTATGTAGGCAATTAGGCATGGTTCGAATTGGACCCAGAAAAAACAATATAGAAATCCCAGTCAAATAAATATCATTTAAATGGATGTTTCCGGTTATTCGGAATAAAAAACTTACTAGAATACGTTGGTTGGATTGATTTTTTTTTTTTAAACGTTGCCCCACACTAGGATTTTCTCCTGTGTCGTGGGTGCGTTTACAAACATACAAGTTCACATACACAATGACACCCAGACCCGAAACAACAATTTGTGGATCACACAAAGTGTTGTCCCGTGCGGGAATCGAACCCGCGACACGTTGCACGGCAGCCGGTTGCCCAGCCACCGCACCAACCGTGCAGTCAGATTTAAAATAATAATAGCATGACGTCATTAAATTTGTGGGTACTTACAAAATCTACTAAACTAAAGGTACCCCCCACTACTAAACTATAACAAATACATCAAATAATTCTTTTAAGAATTATTATATAAAAAAAATCTTCTCTTAAGTATAACAAATACTTTTGTGAAATCCGCATCTAAATCCGTTTAGCTAGCCGCGATATAGTCGCGGACAAACATAAATACATACAGGATACAGGCCTAACTGAGAGCCCCCTTCTTTTTTGAAGTCTGTAAAAAATCGGATACTTGTTCATTATCTAATTGATTTAATTTTGTATTACACTGGTACAGTTCTAAACCTTCAAGAAAAGAGTGTATTGCTTTTTAAAAGGTCGGCAACGCATCGGTTACTCGTCTGGTGTTGAGTTGTCCATGGGCGGCGCTGATTGCTTACCATCAGGTAATCCGTCTGCTCGTTTGCCTACTATTCCATAAAAAATCTTTTTATTCTGGTTTGCAGGGTATCTGGTGGGTAACGCAGGTCTATTGGTGACCCTCGGCCAGTTCGGGCTGGCCTACCTGATTGTAATATTCACGGTTACATCAATCTGTGCGATATCTACCAATGGAGCTGTTGAAGGTGGAGGTGTATACTGTATCCTTTACAAAACACAATCTACATCATCATCGTCAGCTGAAACTTTCTGATTATAGGGCTGTCCCTTGACAGGCAGTTTTTCTCTATTCATCAAATTTGGTTAAGGACACAATAGTTTTTTTTATATATTTGATGGGCCGACGTTTGACCACTATCTCGCCTGGTGGTAAGCGATGATGCGGTCTACGATGGAGCACGTCGTCCCATAAGCAACCTATTCACTCGGGCCTTGAACACTCCCAGGTTTTACCCTTCAGAAATACAGACTCTGGCAAATAATTTCACTCTTTAGTAGTACGCACTATGAAACTTGAAGCGAAGCGCTTCGTGCGTGTGGGTGGGACATCTACCATGAATCGGTGATACTTCGCCGCTTCGATTGTTTTGTGGTACGATGATTGAAAGGAGTAGGTATAAACATATTCTAATTACTTATTATTTGGTTCTGCATTTATACTGATAATACAGGTGCAGATTCAACTTAGTCTTTTCCATCTTTCTTTATAAGATTTTCAACTTTATTGTTTTGCTATATAGTCGAAAATCCAATGAAATTATTGACATAGTAAGTTTACCTGGTAGCCAGTGGAGTTATCGAACACCAGCGTCATATAGTGAGCGTAAAAAATAGAAGTTACTAAAATAATACCCTTAGCTTTAGCTCAGTTATGATCAGCAGAACGTTAGGTCCAGAGTTCGGAGGCGCGGTGGGGACATTGTTCTTCTTTGCGAATGTGGTGTCCAGCGCTCTCTGCATATCAGCGTGTACTGAGGCCCTGGTTGAAAATTTCGGCCAAAATGGTAAGTGGGTATTGTGTGTGTGGGGAGTGGTGGGTGGTGGGTGGGGAGCCCGTCAGTATTCGGTTGTAAGCCTGTAAAACATAATTATTGTTAATAAGTTATTAAACTTATTTCATGAGCGTTGTAATGTAAAAATATTACATAACATCACGCATTTTATTCTCGAAGGTGTGTACATTATGCCACTGTACAATGTAACACCCACTTTTCATTATTTATGTTATGAGTCCCATGTAATAGGGGGTGAGCCTATTGCCATATACGGGGCACAATTGCAGACTCCGTGTTGCTACTAAGATTTTTTTATTAAACCAGTAATACTTTGCCCGACCCAGGAATCGAACCCGAGATCCTATGCCCAAGATTCTCGGGTCGGGCTAAATAATACTACTGGGTTTTTAACCCCTGGGTAATAATACTACTGGGTTACATTGTACCTCTGCCTACCCCTTCGGGGATAAAAGGCGTGATGTTATGTTATACTGTAAGTATTAGCGCTGTGGTGACTTACTATTTTATGTGTACCTTGTCTGTGTATGAGCGTAAATATTAGTCTTTCTTTTTTATAGGTTACTTGGTAGGAGCCAACACGGGTATCCCAGACGGCTGGTGGTACCGCTTCATGTACCGTTCAGGGCTGAATGCCATCGGTCTCGGAGTGTCCTTGGCTGGAGCCTCACTCTTCGCTCGCACCAGTCTAGCCATCTGGATGAGCATGGTCATCTGTCTGGGCAGTGCTTTCATCAGCTTCTTTGTCACTCCTATGGCTACCGTAAGTTTGTTTTGAGGATATTACTGTGTATTGCTTTGGTGACATTCACAGGTCATCTTATACTTATACTTTATACTTATTATATAAAGCGGAAGAGTTTGTTTGTTTGTTTGTTTGAACGCGCTAATCTCCGAAACTACGGGTCCCATTGAAAAATTATTTTTGTGTTGAATAGCCCATTTATCGAGGAAGGCTATAAAACATCCCGCTACGATTATAAGGCGTCGAGCAGAGCGAGCGAAACCGCGCGGAAGTAGCTAGTAAACAATATTTGACGTTTGAAATGCCTTTCTTCCTTCAGAAATACTATTTTATATACCTACTCACAAAAATAAATAATCATCATTCCTTTTTTAAGATTATCATTTCAAGAATCAAAAAGCATAAACGTTTATTATAACTATTTTATTTACGTCTCATAACTTGGTAATTTATTGTTACGTAAAGTACTAAACAATATAAATATTGCGCCAGCGCATCAATCAAACTAACCAAAATATAAAGAAACTGACCGCTTCGTTGGCCGAGTGGTCGCAAGTGCGACAAGGGGTCTCGGGTTCGATTCCTGGATCGGGCAAAGTATTACTGGTTTTATTAATTCTCACTAATGGCACGGAGTCTGGAATTGTGGCCGGTATAATTATGGCAATATGCCACCCCCTATTACCTACATGATAATCAAAACATAAATAGTGAAAAGTGGATGTTACATTGCACAGTGGCATTAAGTGCCGTAATATGCACCTCTGCCTACACCTTCGGGGATAAAAGGCGTGATGTTATGTTAATATAAAGAAACGTAACCATTTTTAATTTTGGTTGTCAGCTTCATGTAGAGTGCCCTCTATTTTTTATTAACTTATTCTCTATTTCTATATTCTAAGAAATCCCAATAGTAGCGCGGAGTCTGTAATTATTATATATATATCGGGATTTATAACATATATAGTGAAAAGTGGATGTTACATTTTACAGTGGCATAACGTGCACCTCTGCCTACTCACCCCTTCGAGGATAAAGGTGTGATGTTATGTTATTCTCTATTTTTTCAGATTCTAAAACCCGACACCAATCACTTAGTGAACATCACAGGATTTATCTACACTGGTCTAAATTCCACCACGCTGTATGACAACCTGTACCCCGCTTACGGCCGGGACTATACGACCACGGACGGACAGATGGTGGACTTCGCGTCCGTTTTCGGGGTCCTATTTACCGGGGTCACTGGGGTTATGGCGGGAGCTAACATGAGCGGTAAGTTTAGTTTATATTTCTATTTATTTAATGGGATGAGATGTATCTGGTTTTTTAGGAATAGTTGTTTGAAGGTATTTTTTCGGTTGTAACGTTATTTTAATCCCTATTTCTTTACTTTCTTTGTTTATTTATTGACTTTAAAATGTGATTTACAGTGAGAGCCCTAACACTTACATTCTAGGACCCAAATAAAGATTGCCCATTTAAAAACTTATACATTAATTTACGTATGACATTTATCGTGAAACACATCTAATTCTGCTATCTATTAAGTTTTTTTATTAGAATAGAATTGATTCCGGAGTCCCATTAAATTTTGACGTTGTATTGTCGTTATATCGTTCTCACATTACCTATATTAAGTAAAGGATCAGATAATGTATCAATGAGACTGTAAAAATACATTTTTTTAATAGAGTAAAGATGGAGTTTCTTGCTCGTTCTTCTCCATTCGGATCTACTTTGGAACGAGCGCCTAGCTTCACTGACAGACGGACGGACGGACAAGTCAACTTTTGACGTTTCAAAAGTGCCTAATTAAGGATTAATTGAAATAAATGCTTCGACTTTGACTTAGGGGTACACGTTTGAAGAAAGTATGTAGGTATAGTTTTTTTTTTCGATAAAGCCGTTTTCCCAGTAGTCTACGCCCAGTTTTGTGGAAACCCCACGCTTATTTTGACAAAGCGTCAATAACATCTATCGTATTTGAACATATTCTATGAATATTTATAATAATATCATTGTAGTGTGAAAGTCAAACATTTATTTCAATTAAACCATAATTTGGTACTTTTGAAAAAACAATAAAAACAAAAGAAATAATTGTCAGTCAGTTCGTCAGTGAAGCTAGGTGATTGTGATTTCATTTGATGATGATGATAGTATTTTTATGGCAGTTTTCAGCAACCCCCGTAAACCATCTTTTAACAAAGAGTTACTTAGCGTGAGCACTAGCCACTTTCATCTCTGCACCACCTAAAAGTCGACTATCAGCCAAGCCCAAGATGTTTTTCTAATAACTATCGTGAGGCATACTAAATCAACTAAAAATCGCGGGTTACCCACGTGAATAAGTATACTGAGAAAAGCTCTACTAGTTTCGAACCACAGAGGGGTTCTTCCTCATGATGGCTGCGCGACATCGCCGCGACCGCGCATGCTGCCGTTAATGCCCAAGGTATTGAGTCCACCTGTATATTTGTGTACATTTTGTACAAATTCTGAATAAAATAAAAATAAGCACCCAAACTATTCCTTTACTTATTCCGCTAGGTGTTACTTATAGGTCGTTAAATGCCTTGACTTAAGAGTTCCTTATACTTTAAAGAGAGGTTTGTGAGAACGGGCAACATCAATATCAAGACCATCCAACACTGTACTGTGACTTTACTTAAACAAATAGTTAAATATAATCTTTTCCAGGTGAGCTGAAGAATCCATCCCGCAGTATTCCATTCGGTACCCTAGCGGCACTACTGTTTACCTTCATCTCGTACATCGCACTGAGTCTGCTGACCGCCGCCACGTGTACCAGGGACCTGCTCATCAATAACTACGTTTATCTCCTACCTATAAATATATGGCCACCTTTTATCGCTGTTGGTAAGTTCTGTTATAGAAATACAATGTTCTAAAACACTTTAAAAACCTAAAACCATGTACCACACACACATCGATCTATACAAAACCAGTTTATCCTGGTGTCGCGTCGCATCATCTTTCCGCACATTTAACGTTCAGTTTATACTGGTTACGTAAAGGTCGAGTACCTCGGGTATGGCACTTCTGATACTTTTCGTATTGTGTCCATGGGCGGCGCTGATGGCTTACTATCAGGAGATTCGCTTGCTTATTGGCCTATATTCCATAGAAAATGTCTATCGTACGATTCCCAATAATGCTAGGCTCGATCCTACTAATATTATAAATACAAAGTTTGTTAGGATGTATGTTCATACCTATCCTTAATATTTGGAATAATTTATGCATCATTATAGATTGCATGTAGTTTAATTATTATTAGTAATTTTAGTGTTGTGTTGTCGTGTTTATAATCTCTGTTACTAATCATGCCACATTCTATTTAAATCAAATCGTATAGCTGTTGGTTTCCCAAATAGATAAATAAATAAATAATAAGTAAACATTTGTTACTCTTTAACCCGTCGAGCGTCCGCGTTCCTTATGATCCAACGGGTGCACACGTGATATTTGGAGAAAGAAAGAAAACAAATGCATTTATTTGGTCATTAGAAAACAAGGATCAATACAATAGAAATAAAAAATACAGTCAAAATAAAAACAAAACATTAATAATAGATTTTATAAAAGAGAAAGCAGCATGGAGCATTTTTTCTTATGATCCACCGGGTGCTCATAAGGACGCTCGAGGGGTTAACCCAAAAACTGCACTGACTGCACGGTTGGCGCGGTGGCTGAACCCGCGACACGTTGCGCAGCAGCCAGTTGCTGCTGCGCAACGTGTCGCGGGTTCAATTCCCGCACGGAACAACTCTTTGTGTCATGTGTATATGAACTCGTATGTTTGTAAACGCACCCACGACACAGGAGAGAAATCTAGTGTGGGGCAACGTTTTTTAAAAAAAAAACGAAATAAAAACTGCTGAATGGATTTGAATGAAAAGAACGAATAATGATTATAGTCTATAAAAACACATAGGCTAATATTTATTCCGAAGCCACTGCTGGCAGATGATAGTAAATAAAATACTTATGACATTTCCAGGTATGCTAATGGCCACATTCTCTGCTGGTCTGTCAAATTTGATTGGCGCTTCACGGGTACTGGAAGCTCTAGCGAAAGATAATATTTATGGTAAGTTGTTTAACAATATTAATAGATTATAACATTGAGTTGTGGTGGCTCGGAGGTTTAATACCACAGATACACAACAGGAATTTTATCACAAAAACCAGTAGTACTTTGCCCGGCCCGGGAATCAAACTCGAGACCCTTTTGCCGTCGCACTTGCGACCACTCGGCAGTTAGCAATAATTACAACAGATATAATAATACCAACGTACGATTTATAAATACATTTATTAACCCTCTATTCCTTTAGGCTTCCTCCTCCGACCAATGGTCTCCAGATCCGGAAACCCAGTGATTGCTGTCCTGACATCATGGCTACTGGTTCAGATCGGCATCATGGCGGACTCCCTGAACGCCATAGCTCAAGTCAACTCCGTACTCTTCATGACCAGCTACTTCGCTATTAATTTGGCTTGTCTTGGACTTGATCTGGCTTCTGCACCGAATTTTAGGTGAGTTGTTATGTTTTTTTTTTAAAAAAAACGTTGCCTCACACTAAGATTTTCTCCTATGTCGTGGGTGCGTTTACAAACATACAAGTTCACATACACATGACACCCAGACCCGGAACAACAATTTGTGGATCACACAAAGTGTTGTTCTGTGCGGGAATCGAACCCGCGACACGTTGCACGGCAGCCGGTTGCCCAGCCACCGCACCAACCATGCAGTCAATAAATATTTATCTTGTATTTGTTATTATTTCATTTCATTCTTTCTTAAATGACGTTGTGGCCCAGAGGCTTAAGACGCGCGCTTCTCATATATGAGAGTGCGGGGTCGAAACCTACCAACGGCAAGTACCAATGTGACTTTTCCGAGTTATATGTAGTCTAAGATTATCCACCACAGACAAACGGTAAGGGAAAACATCGTGAGGAAACCTGGGCTTATAATTTCTAATTATAAGTTTGCAATCGTTAACCCGCATTGAGCTAAGGTGGTGATTAAAACCTTCTCCGTGTGAGAAGAGGTCTTTGGTCAGCAGTGGTCACTTAAAGGCTGTTGATGATGGTGTTCTATTTGAAGTAGTATCAGAAAGTATTTATAAATGAATATTAATGTGTAATAAATACTTTTGGACACCGCATCTAAATAGGTTCAGCAAATGGCGAGATAATCGCGGACCAACATATATACATACTGCCGGACCCAACAGACGTTGTCCTGCATATCCACTTGAATGTATAAACAAAAATTCATTCAAATTAGTTCAGCTGTTTAGGATAAATAACCTAAACATCGGCTGCAGCGCCATCTGCCGGGCTGATTTGTGATCTAAACCATTCCCAGATCCCCTTGAACACACACAAAAAAATTCATCAAAATCGGTCCAGTCGTTTGAGAGAAATTCAGTGACATATACACTCACAGAAGAATTATATATATAAAATAAAGATATGTAGGTTAAACAGAGACCTACCGTCTTTTTTTGAAGTCTGTTAATCAACAGCCAATGGTTGAATACTGCTTTTAACTTTTTTCTTTAACTTCTATGATAAGTGACGGCCATAAAATAAATATTAAGTCACTAACTATGATTACACTGTTACAGACCGACATTCAAACAATTCTCATGGATGACGTCACTGCTCGGGCTCCTCGGGTGTGCGGGTTTGATGTTCGGGTTGCGCGCACTGTACTCGTGTGGAGCAGCCCTGGCGTGTGGCTCGCTGGTGGTAGCCCTGCATCTGTTCTCACCTGCTGCTGCAGATCCTACCTGGGGATCGCTTAGCCAGGCCCTCATTTTCCATCAGGTAAGAAAATTCGTATAACTTATTGAGCTTCGCGTGAAAAAATTAAATATGCCACGGAAATTTCCAAATAATTTGTCGGATCTCATCATCGAATCTGTTGGGTTTTTGGATGTGCTCCTTAGCGTAATGATAACATTTAACTGCACGGTTGGTGCGGTGGCTGGGCAACCGGCTGCCGTGCAACGTGTCGCGGGTTCGATTCCCGCACGGAACAACACTTTGTGTGATCCACAAATTGTTGTTTCGGGTCTGGGCGTCATTGTGTATGCCAACTTGCATGTTTGTAAACGCACCCACGACACAGGAGAAAATCGTAATGTGGGGCAACGGTTTTTAAAAAAAAAAACATTACACTTGCACCATCCCCCTTGACGATTTTACTGTCGAAGAATTCATCCAGTCTCAATACATTTACTAATTATTAATAATTGCTATGTTGATCTCATTCCTATGTTCCTTTTCCAGGTCCGCAAATACCTACTACTTCTGGACCCTCGACGTGAACACGTCAAGTTCTGGCGTCCACAGATGTTGTTACTGATCGCGTCACCCCGACAGGCCGCGCCACTTATTGACTTCGTTAATGATCAGAAAAAGGTAAATTCAAATTAGGAGTCCATGTTATATAATATTTTAAAACTATCATTTAGGCGGTTATGTCTAAGGGCCTGATCATACTAGCGGATTGCGAACGTCCTCAAAGCGGTGCGGGCGCGCAACGATTTCGTTGTAAACACACAACAAACACGCTGCGCATGTGCAGCGAATTCGCTGCAAAATCAAAGCATTTATTTCAATTAACTCGTCGAGTACCGTATTTATAGACACAATTAAAGAACAATAGGTTGCGGTCACCGGTGACCGCTTGGTGTTTGACAGTTTAAACCATAATTTGGAACTTTTTAATCACTCCGGTCGAGCCGGCCTATTCGTGCCGAAGCATGGCTCTCCCACAGTTTAGAGTTTTGCAAGTTATTACGGCTTAATGAAAAATAACACCGTCCCAAGCGTGGCTTGAAACTAGTCAGCCACTACGCGTACAGCATAATTTATCTCACAACTGATGTTATTATAAATGTTGTATTTAATAATAATACAATATTATTTCTCAGGGTGGTCTATTCGTGGTTGGCCACGTAAGGGTTGGAGAGTTGGATGGCTCGGGAGACCCGCTGGCGGCTGAGCATAAATACTGGTTGAAGCTGATTGACCATCTCAAGGTAAGAAATTATAAACATAAGTAGGAATGCCTGAATAGAAAAAAAGTTACGTACTTATGGCATAGGTCGCAAGTAGTTGCAAGTGCGACTGCCGGGCAATGGATCTCGGGTTCGATTTCCGGGTCGGGCAAAGTATTACTGGCTTTTTTTAAAACATCTCAGTAGTAGCACGGAGTCTGGAATTGTGCCCGGCATGTGGCAGTAGGTTCACTTCCTATTACGTGGCTAAATGGGATTTATAACATAGGTAAATAGTGAAAAGTGAGTGTTGCATTGTACAGTAACATTAAGTGCCGTAATGTGCACCTCTGTCTGTCCCTTCGGGGATATAAGGCGTGATATTGTTATCATATGGAATAGGGCGCCAAACAGACTAAGCATAGGACAAATAATGTTAGTAATCGGCGCCCCGCAATATAAGATAAATTACAAGTGCGTTGCCGGCCTTTTTGAATTAGAGGCGCAACTAAACGTAAGCGTTGTTGTATGCCAGTTTTATGTGTAATCATGGTATCAATACGGTCGAGTCTGCTTTTGATATGGCACTGTCACGTAAGCAAATTTTGTTGTCTATCCAGGTGAAAGCATTCGTAGAGCTAAGTCTATCATCCTCGGTCCGGTCTGGCGCGGCGCAGCTCGCTCGGCTGGCCGGGCTCGGCGCCATGAAGCCTGATACTGTACTACTCGGCTTCAGGGATACTGCACCACCCATCGATTTCTTTAGAGAGTAAGCTGTTTTATTGCTTAGTTTAACAAAATAAATAAAATTTACATTAAAAGTTGCTTATAGAAATGTGTGCTAAACTTGTACATAAATGTCAAAAAATATTTTTAGACTATTCGCGATTATCGCGCGCAAGGACTACTGACATTACATTTAAACTGATTTAAATGTGACTTTCAAAATATATTCTTGAGATAGTTTTATTTGTATATAAACTCAGAAGAAAGCTACGCACGGTTAGTACAGTAGATGGGCAACTGAGTGATGTGCAACTTGTCGCGGATTCGATTTCCGTACAGAACAACTCTTTCTTAAAACCATTGTTTCGGGACTCAGTGTAAGGTTTAAATCAAAGAGTGAAGAAGACAGAGGGTCGGCTAACAAGGGATTTGGAATAACAACACAAACACCACTATTACTTTCACTTTTTATTCACTTCCGTTGTTCCTTGTTCCCGCTAGGGGCGCTGGTTGTACTCGCCAACGTCAGGTTTGACGAGCAACCTAACCAAATTGATGTAACGAAACCATAGCGCGATCTATCTCGATATTACCACCCTCTATCGAGCGACGTGACAACTCTAACTAATAATATTTTATTATAATTAAATTTTGATCGCGCTATGATCCCGTTACCGCTCCGAACAAAGAGTATGGTTGAAAACGCACCCACAACAATAACAAATTTGTAATTGGTTTTATTGAATGAAAGATTTTAACTTTATTATATTGTAAAACTTAACTTTACATGCCGAAAACAGTAGGCGATATATGTGGTACTATTTTTTATAATTATTATTACCTGTAATGACCATACTTCGTGCAAATAAACGTTATAACACTGGAGATAATCCTAACAAAAGAAAACTTTTTTTAATAAAAGAATATAATTTCACTCTCCCCCTCTTTCCAGCCCCGTTTCCCCCTATAAGACGGATATCTTCGACCTGGAGTCTGGCGAGACGATATTCCCAACGCGCAAGCCGACAGACGAGCGTCTATCCGCGTCAGAATACGTGCGCATTGTGTCCGACGTACTGTGCGTCAATAAGAACGTATGTCTGTGTCGACACTTCCATAAACTGGACATGGCCAAGGTGGAACGGTGAGTTTTGTTTATTTATCTTTATATATATAATTCTTCTGTGAGTATATATGTCACTGAACTTCTCTCAAACGACTGGACCGATTTTGAAGAATTTTTTTGTGTGTGATCAAGGGGATCTGGGAATGGTTTAGATTCACAAATCAGCCCGGCAGATGGCGCTGCAGTCGATGTTTAGGTTATTTATTTAGGATAAACGTCTGAACTAATTTAACTCGTCGAGTACCGGTTTTATAGACACAATTAAAGAACAATGGGTCGCGGTCACCGGTGACCGCTTGGTGTTTGACAGTTTAAATGAATTTTTGTTTATATATTCAAATGGATATGCAGGGCAACGTCTGTTGGGTCTGCTAGTATATAAATAAAAATGAATTTCCGTTCGTTAGTCTTGCTATAATAACTCGAGAATGGCTGAACCGATTTGACTAGTTTTGGTCTTGAAATGTTCGTGGAAGTCCAGGGAAGGCTTAAAAGGTGAGAAACATTTTTTAGGCGGTACGTGATTTGCCGATCAGCTAGTTATAATTAAAGGAGAATGGCAGGTTTGTATGGAAGTTTTGTATCGCTATAAAATTATGTATTAGTCATTGTTTTAACCAAGCGAATAGTCTGAACGATAGATATTTTATTATGAAGTTTACAAAAAAATTACATATTTTTAGAACTTGGGGTTCAAAAGTTATTTCACTTTGAAAATGTGCAAAAGGTACGTTAAGGTAGTACCACACTTGACATTGCGTAGTCGCTTCATTTGTCCAAATATTTGTAGACTACGTACAAATGGCGTCCAAATAGTATCTCTATATGTAATGGCGTGAAAATATAGAGCAAACAAAGAAGAATAAATCCTCCACACATGTTCTTTTTTGGCCGAACACGACAAATACGCAACGTCAAGTGTAGAGCCACCGTTAATCTGTCAAGCACCAAGCGGTCACCGGTGACCGCGACCTATTGTTCTTTAATTGTGTCTATAAAACCGGTACTCGACGAGTTAAGCAAAATATCTATTACAAATGACAGATGACAGTTAACGGAAAAATGTCAATGTGCTCACTTGTGGTAGTTTACAAAAAACAAAAATCTAAATACTGCTCGCTACTCAAGTGACTATTACACTTTGTATTATTAGGAATGATCCTGTTAATTCAGCAAGCATGATGTACCAATATAGTTTTAAAGAGTATGCCTCACAATCTTTTTCATTTCTTAGGTGCCTACGAAAATGCAAATTCATAATGTAAGCGACTGTCATTGGGTAGAAGGCCTACATTTAGCAGTGGAAGTCTTGTGGCGGATATGATAAAACTAATGTCTCACTTCACCTTGAATCTTGCGGGCAGACGCAAGATTTAATGTGTAAAATCAAGATTCGAGGCAGAGCCCTGATATACAAATAGTCTTTAAAGTTAATTCGATTTAAACTTAAGCTTAGCTCTTTGAGAAAGTATTTCTTCTGAAAACTGGTTGCTTAGCACGCGTGTAAGGTTTAATTTCTAATAAGTAAGTCAAATTAGTAGAATCATCAACATTTTCATCATTAAGTCTATAAGTGGCCACTGCTGACCGAAGCCTCTTCTCGCATGGAGAAGGTTTGAGCATTAACTCGTCGAGTACCGTATTTATATACACAATTAAAGAACAATAGGTTGCGGTCACCAATGACCGCTTGGTGTTTGACAGTTTAATCACCATACTAGCTCAATGTGGGTTGGTAATTCAAACTTATAATAAGAAATTATAAGCCCATGTTTTCTCACAATTCGTTAGAGGTGTCTTTGTACTTTCTTAGATTATTTAATATACAAATAACTCGGAAAAAAGACACATTGGTACTTTGCTGTTGGTAGGTTTCGAACCCGCACTCTCATGCATGGGAAGCGGGCTTCTTAAACCTCCGGGCCACCACATCACAACTAAAGAAAATGTAAAATGAAAATGAACATTTTTGGTATAAAACTAAAGCTATCTAAATTAAATATGGCATTTATTTTATAGATTGATTCTTAAAATCACTTTTATCAAGATAGAATTTATAGTTACTTATTAGGTTAAAATAAAACAAATGTATTATTTTGAAATACTTTTCATTTTCATTCATTTCATTGTATTCAGGTTGTTTCTAGGACTACTTCATCTAAAAAGAGAACAGGCAGTGTCATAGGTACTGCAGACGTCAATTGCTGATATCTGTAAACAAGTAAGGTAACTGTAAATAAAGTAAACAAAAGTACATTTTTCCTTTAGTTTTATATGTTATAATAATATGTCTGATTCCCTATCTTAAAATGGAAAAGATAAAACTAAATATTTGATTACATTAATTGATTTTATAACATTTATTATAGTTATTCGTATAACACAGATCATAGGAGCTCAAACAGCATGCTAATTAATAAATTATAATTATAACATGAGTATAAACCTCTTATATACTCCACATAGATACATAATTATGTAGGTACAGTATAATGAGAATGCATACTTGTTGAAAGCTCTGAGAGCCGAACATCTTCCGGCCTCATCTGTTCTACAAATGGCAATGGTAAAGTGAGGCTTAGTCCATGTTTACATAACACATTACTTCCTGATAGTGAACACTGTGAGGTGGTATGTCAGGTTGTGAATTTATAGTTTCGCCTCTTGTATGGTCTCTCAGTCAGTATGGAATATGATCTTCATCATGGGAAGTAAGCTAAAATAAGTAATATTAATAGAATATGATAATGACCTTAGATTACACTGTAAGTGATAATAGTATGGTTAAATTATGCTTTATTACCTCTTGTGGCTAAATCCAATCAAATACTATTTGAGCCAGTCTTTAGTCCTGTTCTTTGGCGCCTTCAATTAAAACCCTGCGTCACCTTATCCTTGCAATGAATCACCCATATACGACACAAACATGCCGATGACCAATTTGTTTGCTGGACATACTTTCAGCAACATCCCGATACATTGCTAATTGCCAGCAAGCATTGCAAATATGGTTGGTAGGAGAGATCTAGAATAAAATGATATATTATGGGTAGATAACACTATGCGCCTTCTTTTATTCAGGCAACATGGTGACTTTCGATATGTTATCCGGGTAAACTAGGTACTTACATCACTAGGATAAGTCCGCAATGGGATATTGTTGACCACGTCTAATCTTCACTCTCATTTCCTAGAGCATGCCGTCTCATGTGCGACAAACTCTGAATGCAATTAATGCACTGTAAATTCATCATCGCGACAAATTACAACACACTATGCACAAAATAATGTAAATAAGTGTCTTTTCGCAATTGTCGCAACAATGATGCCAATAACACCAATTTGGGCTACGGAGGAACGGTTGCCAAACTCAACGTATCACCAGATGAATAAACTTCAAATTCAACAAACACATCATAACATCGCATTTGAAACAAACAGCAATGCGCCAGTATTGACAAATTAATTGTCAATGTCATCAAGACAAATGCCAGTTCAACATTGCCATATTCAAGTTTGTTAAAATGTTAATTATCAATAATAATCCATGTAGACGTAGATTTAGATTGGATGTAGATTTTTATATTTACTTATAAAAATGTTTGAAATGGAAAGGAAAATATTTCATTGATAGATATTAAAATAAATGAGTTAATGAAATAGCGACATTCAATAAGTTCTGATTTCATCTTTACGCATGGCAACTTTGTAAACGTCAATCGCGATTTGTTTTAACGTTTGGAAACGTTTAGTGGATTGATTTTTATCATTATTGAATATCAGTTTTTCTAGGGTTTCCCAAGTTGTAAAAATCTATTAAATATGCTAACATAACGTACTTAGGAGGTTCTATAATGACCCAATTTTTTAATGACATATCTTTTTTTAGCGAAGCGGTACGAAATCTGCCGTTCTCCTTTTTAAATGAATTATTTTCATTGAAAAATTTTTTTTTTTGTTGTGGCTGCACGATAATCAGACAGATGGTCCATGACAGGATGTTGAGAAGTGTTGAAGTGAAATGGTTGCGCTATACTCGACTAGTTTCGAGTTACACCGGGGCTCATAAAAACGTCTTGATACGGTTATTATAAAACATAATACGTGTACAGTTTAAAAATACATATCTCTTGTTGACGTGTGAAATAAATATTTTTTTTTCTTTTGTCTCGTTCAGCAAGTCTCCGTCCCTGAAGTACATAGACGTGTGGCTGGTGGAGCTGCGCAGCGCCAGTTGCGAGGAGGCGTTCACGGTGCGCGGCCTGTTCGCGCTGCAGCTGGCCGCCGTGGTGCGCTCGGCGCGCGGCTGGCAGCACCTGCGTCTGCGCCTGCACGCCGTCGGCCTGCCCGCGCCGCCCCCTATCACCATACACGGTGCGTAGATGCCTTAGTACATTTTTATTTAAGGGGGAAAATCATCGAATTATTTCTCCTGCCTGGGTGAGGCTAGAGGGAGTGTCAGACTCTTACTGACTAAAAACCACTTCGTTCCTACTCCTGCACTTTGAGCCGGAGCCCCGGCAATCCGTTAAGTTCTCCGCGATTCTGTATCGTCATCAGCCCTATTGGGTGGTGGTGGTCTGATGGCTCTTTAACCCTTTGAGCGTCCTTATGAGCACCCGGTGGATCATAAAAAATGCTCCATGCTGCTTTCTCTTTTATAAAATCTATTATTAATGTTTTGTTTTTATTTTGACTGTATTTTTTATTTCTATTGTAATGATCCTTGTTTTCGTGTGCCAATGGCCAAATAAATGCATTTTCTTTCTTACTCCAAATGTCACATATGCACCCGTTGGATCATAAGGAACGCGGACGCTCGACGGGTTAAGGCGCGCGCGGTCCACGACTAGCCATACGCTCGGGGCTGGTTCTAGTCGAGCGGCGATCTACCCATTATTACCCGTGCTTACGGTGGCCGGAAATCGTCTCGCGATCCCCGACACATAGAGATATTAAGTTATACTTGTATTACTTTTTAAAATGGGTGGCGCTGATTCTCACTCACTCAGGTGTTTTGTCTGCTAGTTTTTTCAAGCTACTGATACGACTTCATTTCAAACATACGAAGAGCAGAATTAATAGCAACCAAATGAAACCTGGACGAGTGCTAATTTTAAATAATTATTAGAATTCTTCTTCGACTTAGAAGTAACATATGACTGACACTTCCAGAAGCAGGTCGTACAGTGACGGTAGGCGAGCGCTCTGCGCTAGAGTCCCTGGCGGCCGGCCGACCGCTGGAGGAGAGGCTCGACAAACTACTCAAACTGCTCCGGATTAACGCTACCATACACATTGTGAGTAAACCACTTTTAGTATCTATAACTAATACTGTAATGAGATATTCTAAATTATAGACACAATTAAAAAACAATAGGTGTGCGGACACCAGTGTCCTCCCGGTGTTTTAAAAGTTTAAGTGTATACACACGGTATACGGCATATTCGTGTAAACATTTTTTTTAAATAGCACTGCCCCACATTAAGATTTTCTCCTGTGTCGTGGGTGCGTTTACAAACATAAGTTCACAAACACATGACACCCAGATCGGAAACAACAATTTGTGAATCACACAAAGAGTTGTTCCGTGCGGGAATCGAACCCGCGGCAGCCGGTTGCCCAGTCACCGCGCCAAACGTGCAGTCAATAAAAAAAATTGGAATTAAGATCTAATATCGAACACTCTCAATACGAGTCGTGTACCTCCATGTCGACAGTACAAGTAGAATAGAATTGATCAAGTTAAATAGTTCAAACTGTCAAACACCGCGCGGACGCCGGTGACCGCAACCTATTGTTCTTTAATTGTGTCTATAATGACGGTACTCAACGAGTTAAACGGTAAAATCATTTAAAACACCTATACGACGTTTTGCTTCCAACATTATATTTTAAACACATCGTATTATTGTTAAATTAAGTATAATCTGGTGTACATTACAGGTGTCGGAATGGCCGAAACTGGACGAGTACAACCGATACTACAGCGAAGAAGAGGACAGCATGTATGAACGTGTACCTATGAGCTATTTGCAAATGTAAGTGTAATAAACTAATAACTATCTTAATTTAAAATGTCAGACACCGCGAGGTCACCGGTGACCGCAACCTATTGTTCTTTAATTGTGTCTATAATGACAGTACTCAAAGAGTTACATATTACTAAGATAAAGTATTGATACTAAGTCAAGCTAAAAGAAGCCTTTAAAATAATTCTCAATAGTAACACGGAGTCTGAAAATGTGCCCGGTATATGGCAATAGGCTCACCCCCTATTACATGGGGCTTATAACATAAATAGTGAAAAGTGGGTGTTACATTGTATAGTGGTATAATGTGCACCTCTGCCTACCCCTTCAGGGATAAAAAGCGTGATGTTATGTTATGTGTTGTTATTTATTTGTAGCGTAAACAATATAATAAAGCAACGGAGTTCGGAAGCAACAGCAGTAACCTTCGTCCAGCTGCCCGCGCCACCCAAGTTATCCAACACTTCTGCTGACGACAATATCTGCGAACAATACTTGAAGGTAACATGCTGATATAGATCTTATACACCATGCATAAATGTCAACATACGATTTTGAACTCTATAGTTTTGAGACAAAGTTCCAAATTCTGTTGACAACAGTCAACTAAATTCAAGTAAGATAATAAAGATTTATGTCTACTCAGTAGCCAATCAATAGTTACTGTGCTTTTACTGAGTTCATTGTTATTTTTATTTATTTATTTACCAACGCATAACATACAAATATCCTTACGGGCTAGACCCAATGCGATATTGTAGCAAATAATAAAATAACAAAAATAATCAAAATATAGTAGTAATATCGGCCAATGGGTTAATCCCTAATAGCCTCGACAACCACCTTAGGAGGCTAGCGTTAGGTAGTTGGGTCAAGGGCCTGATACAGAAGGCAGTTCTCCTTGAAACGGCACGTATCGTGAGGAGGTTTCTGTCTCTGGAGCCCTAACCACCGGTAGCTTGGACCATGCTCCCGCTACTGGTCGGCTCCTATTTTTTATATTTTTAAATATTATTTTTATGTTTTTGTAAGTAGTATTTAAAAATGTATTTTATAGAGAATTTAAAATAAATATATGGAAATCAAAATATAAACAAGAAATACCCATACACTATAGAATATAATAAATAACTTACTTCTACTGCTTTTACTATATAGGAAATCCTATGCATGGCTGTTCGTGTAAATTCTCCTACAGAGCAACATAAATTATGTCTACGTCATTAGCAACGAGGAGATTTTGTTACCTGTCTACCAAGTAACGTGGTTGACTGTACAATGTACATAAATGCTATGAATATAAAATTATTTAGGCATTCACTGTGTGCGATACTTGATCAAAGAATTACTCGCTCGATGAAATTATACTAGAAAAATGAACTGATTAACATCTCTTTCTAGGACAGCATCAACTCGCGTACTGCTGCATGTAAACTGTAATTATCATCGGTCAAGACACTCGTATAATTAGACATCAAACTTATCTCCCTTTCTCTCTCTTTCTATCTCTTTCTCTTTTCGACTGATGATTGTGATTTATTATTCCATGTTACCCACAAATAACACATTTCTTACATTTTTAGGTGCTAGATGAATTCACAAAGGACCTGCCCCCTACAATCCTCGTCCGGGGATTGAAGTCCGTCACCTCCACTGCGCTATAACCAGGGAGTACCTGATTATATATTATAATGAATAATTACCTAGATCTCTTAGGGCTGATTATGTAATAATAATTTAGATTTTTTGACAATTCTTCCATGTAAAAAATACAAGAAGTTAATTTTAATCTATGAATAAAAAAGTATCACTGACTAACCGACTTCAAAAATAGAAGTTTCGCAGTTTGACCTGTATGTATGCATGAGCGTGATTATCTCGCGATTGGCTAACCCGATTTTGACGTGGTTTTTAGAAAAGCATTTGTTACACTCAGGAAAAGGTTTTAGTATATTAATTTACCAACCAACCCAAAGAGGGTTCGAAGTCGGTTTTTTAAACGTATTATATGAAATAATAAATGATAATAATGTCAGCCCGTACTAAACTAAAGTAATAATGTCGCAGATTAATTAACCTTCTAAACTATCTAGATTTTTGACTATACACATTTTGAAAAATAGTAAACTTGACATAGGTGACTCTCTAGTACGGTACTTTCATTTAATAATAACCGTGAAACATTCTAAATTAATTACAAAATACAGCTTACTTAAATGACTTATTCGAGGAATGCTCAACTGGTTTCAAGTTATATTGGGATTCAAATGCATAAGTAATTTATTTATTTATTTATTTATTGAATTAGGGTCTCCAACAAGGAATACACTTAGCACACACGAGTAGCATTACAAAAATTAATAGCTATGTGCTTCCTCAATTATAGGAGGCCACAACATGCAAAAATCATAAAAATATACATAAAACTGGCAATACAAATTAAAAGTTAAAATAAATTAAATTAAAAGCTAAGAATAAAACAACTGTGACTAAAAACAATACAAAATGTCAAAAATATGGCATACGTCAAATAATACAAAATCAGACAAAACAATCAAATGTCGGAAATAATCAATTGAACATGGTCAAGTTTAAAATAATAATACTAAATAATCAAAACAATAATAATAAAAATCAATTAATTAATTAAATAATCAATAATCATATTTCAAAAAAAATCTAATAAAATAAGAGAAATAAGAGAAGTGAGACAATCAAATGTACATTCATGGTTGTTTGTTTATGGTGGATGCGTCAACATTCAGGACTCCAAACTACGCGCAACAACATTCCTAAACTTACGAAAAGTGTTGTGGAAGATATCGATATCATCACACGTTTCCGAAATACTGTTATACTGCAAAGTAAGTCTAGCAATTGGTGAATGTTTACCTAAGTTAGTAATGGCTTGGCCCTGCGTGGGATCCTGCTAGGCACGTGAAATTTAACTTTGCTTAAAAGTTCCGGACAGTCAATACGGTTATTCAGCAGTTTATAGAGGAAAAGCAGATCTGAGATGGTACGACGTGACTCAAGAGTCATAAGTTTAAAGTGCTTGAGTCTTTTTTTATATGACTTCAAGGTGTACTTAACCTTAAACCGGTATGCCAAATGATTGATAAATCTCTTTTGTACGTATTCGATTCTGTCTATGTGAACGCGATACATGGGATTCCAAGCTGTACTACAGTACTCTAGTCGGCTCTTTACGTAACTATTGTAAAGCAGTATCATAGTTTCGGGTTTCTTGAACTCTTTAGACGAACGCAGGACAAATCCAAGAGCCCGATAAGCAGCGGAAATCATTGTGTCAATATGTTGGTTGAAACATAGTTGACTATCCAGTTGA